TCAAAATCTACTAAAAACTTGTTTTTAGTCTATACCAAATAGGAGCTATATATCACCCGAGCACCTTTCATTCATTGTGGTAGAATTTGGGTGTGACCTGAATTCTTTGTTGAATTAATTGAAGAATTCTAATTGAAGTGCATTTTAAGAAAAATTCAGTTTGAAATACTATTGGAGTCCTATGTCAAGTTGAAATTCTATTTTGAAAGCTCATTGATTATTGAAATTTGTTTTGGACTCGATTTTTTGATATCCTACTTCATCAACAACTCTATTAGGAGAGTTTGGACATCCCCTATGTGTTCCCTATAAATATTAGGCTATTTTATACAATATCATAATGTGAGAAAATAGATCATTAGAACTTTAGGATCAATTGTATATTTCTCCATTATTATTGCTGCAATAAAATCTCCTAATTCGCCTGTCATATTTTTTTTGTCTTCTTTTATTCTTTTACTTGTGTTCAAATACTTCATATTTTGCTATATAATTTCAACATCTCAATCCGGTGGTTGGTTTCATATCAAGTGGTATCGAGCAATACGTGATTCTTAAATTCTCAACAATTGGTATCAGAGATTCTGTACAAAATTAGCACAATAAGTGGTATCAGAGTGATTCTGGTATCTTGTTTGTTTTACAACAAGTGGTATCAGAGTGCCCGATTCAGTAGTTTCGCAAGAGCGCATGGTTTGATTTGGTCAAGGTTTTTGTTCGTATGACATTCCGCTTTTGATCGGAGCACTAGATTTTTGCTATGTCAGGTTAAGATTCGTGCAGTACTCGCGCAATAGGATTTGGATGATACGTTGCTGGGAATTGACAAGATGCCCACAATTTTGACCACAGAGGGGAAATTATGGAAGGATAAGAAGACAATTTCTCACATTCATCTTCATCTATTGAATACCATTTTTAGGACGTTTCAAAAGAGGGTTCAACAGCTTTTTTATGGTTGAAGTTGGAGTAATTGTGCATGACTAAAACTCTGACAAGGAAGTTGCATCTCAAGCATCATTTATATTCTCATCGAATGACAGAAGGAGGATCATTGAAAGATCACTTGACTGTATTTAAAGAGATTGTAGCTTATTTGGAAACTTAGGAAGTAAAGTATGATGAAGAAGATTTGACCTTGATCCTATTATGTTCATTGCCTGCTTTGTTTTCTTCATTTAGAGACACGTTCTTATATAGTCGTGACACTCTCACCATATAAGAGGTGTATGATACTTTGTTTTCAAAAGAAAAAATGAAACATCTGATTTTAGAGGCCAGAGATGGAGAATGCCTTGTTGGGCATGTTGGTTTTGGAAGGGGTAAATCGAAGTCTAAGTTCAATAATTAGATTTGTAACTTCTGCAAGAAGAATGGGCACTTGAAGAAGGATTGCTGCAAATTGCAGATAAAGAAAGGTTGGCTGCAAGTCGATATGGGGAGCAATCAGAGACTTTAGGTGAAGCAGGCCTCGTAGAGAACATTGTAAGTGAAGTAGATCTCTTGACTATTTCTGACATTGAGTCTAAACCAGAGGAGGAATGGATTCTAGATTCAACGTGTGTGTTTCATATGTGTCCTAATAAGGACTTGTTTACTATATATGAAACCGTTTCCAAAGGTGTCGTGGTTATGAGAGACAACACGCCTTGTCGGATTACTGGAATTGGTACAGTCAGATTGAAGCTATTGGATGGGACAATTAGAACACTTGGCCAGGTTCGACATATTTCGAATTTAAAGAAGAATCTCATATCGTTGTCTATCCTTGATTCAAAGGGTTATGAACTCTTTGGTGGAGGTGAAGTTTTGAAAGTTTGTAAGAGTGCCCAAATTGTATTAGAGGGACATAAAATGTCTCAATTGTACATCTTGTAGGGTTATTCAGAATCTAGAAGAGTCAATCAGCACATGTTCAGTACCATGTTGGACATTCAGTTTGGTACAATACCTTTACAATTTTGTAAGTGGTCGAATTTGAAGAATATTGCTCAGTGAAGTTCAGGAGATATGGATAATGCCGTTTTGTCACCATCACATGCGGTGCCATTTTATTCAATTGTTAGGGACAGACCCAGTAGTAAAAGGTATGTAGATACTTATTTTGTTGAGTCTACTTTTAGCGTAGTAGAAGGTGTATAATCTAACAAGGGGCCTTCTTTAAAAGTATTTGAGTTTGATTCTGTTTTGGAGTGTGTTTCATCCTAGTTTAGTATATTTTAAAATCATTATGATTTTTTGAGAATTTGAGATAATTTTGCAGAGTAGTACTTTGATTCATTGGAAGAGATGGAGTATTTTGTGTTTGATTGGAAAAATCAGTTTTGGTTGTTGTTGAAGACGAATTTCCTTCTCCAGTTGGAGAAACTTTTGGAGCTTTGTACGTTGCAATGGAATTCGTATAAATGTGAAGATTGTTAAAATTTGGGTGTGGCTCGAATTCCTTATTGAAGTAATTGAAAAATTCTAATTGAAGTGCAATTCAAGAAAAATTTAGTTTGGAATGCCATTTGAACCCTATGTCAAGTTGAAGTTCTATTTTGGAAACCCATTGAGAGTTGAAATTTATTTTGGACTCGATTTTTTGGTATCCTACTTTATCAAAAACTTGACTAGGAGGGTTTGGACATCCTATACATGTTCCCTATAAATATTAACATCTTCTATACAATTTCATAATGTGAGAATAATGTGAAAAAATAGATTACTATAACTTTAGGATCAATTGTATATTTCTCCATTATTATTGGTGCAATTAAATCTCCTAATTCCTCAACCATATTTTTCTTGTCTTCTTTTATTCTTTTACTTGTGATCAAATACTTCATATTTTGCCATATAATTTCAACATCTCAATCCGATGGTTGATTTCATATCAAGTGGTATCGAGCGATACGTGATTCTTGAATTCTCAACAATTGGTATCAGAGATTTTGGACAAAATTAACACAAGAAGTGGTATTAGAGCGATTATGATATCTTGTTTGTTTTATAACACATTGTTCAATATATTTATAAATTAGTATTTACAGATCCATTGAACAATGAATTAGAGGCCCCCACTGCCATCTAAAAGCTAATTACTATGGGTGATAAATAGCATTAGTCAAGAGAAAATATAAACAAGAATTTTTTCCACACAGCTATATGTAGGGGGTAAAAGAGGAGAGGAAGCCCACAGAAATGCACTTCATCTGTAGATGGATTTGAAATGGCATAATTGAGCCTCATCTACGAATATAATATATTCCATTATCACTTAAATTCAAGAATTTTGCTTGGTTTATGATAATATTGGGGACTAATTGTTCAAAGCCTAATTTAGATAGACGAAAATTTATTTACAAAAATAGAGTTTTTAACAAATACAAGATATATAGTGAACAGTCATGATTATAATGATTAAAACCTCCTCATAAATTAAACCCTAATTGGATTGATAGATTAATATATACATTGACTACATGGCCTCTCTATTTGGTAGAGATTCTTTAAAACTTTATTTTTTTGTAACTCATTTTTAATCATATATTTTTTTAATAAAATAATTTCCCACGTGAACTCATAATTTTTCCCTACTTATAATTAGAATTTTTTTTTTAAAAAAATCACTTTTCACGAATTATTATCCAAAAAATCTATAACAAACAAACTGTCTCTCTCTCTCTACTCAAAGGTCAGTCCTGAAAAGATCTCATCCTAGGAAAGAAACTCGAGCGGCATCCGCCGACGCAAGAAGACAAAAGACAGGATCAAGTCCAAAATCATACAAATCCCTATAATGCAAAAAATAAAGATAATTCTATTATTGAATTTCAACCTTTCACTGCGAATGAGACTCGAATAATCTATGTCAATAACTTTATTAAAGCTTTGCTTTTCATGGTTCAAGTCATGAACAAAGAGGCAAAAATAATAGAGGGACGCGAACATAGATGTAAATTGTAATTTTAGAACAAATATCTAAATATTTAACTTGTAAGTTTACATGCAAGTTTGATTAATTTTTTTTTTAATAATGTGTAAGGACAATAAATTGAGTTTAACATCTTTGCTAGTTTGATACTTATAAATCACTTCATTTAGTAATTATACTTTACAAAGAAAGCATATTTATTTAATCAAACTCGAGCTTTCAATTCAAACCACACAAGTTAGACACGAATTCTTTGTCCCAAAAAAGAAGAATTCACTGTTTTAAGCTTTATAACATGTTTAATTAGAGTACAGTGTGTTTGAATTATTAGTTTCATAGCACAATCAATCATTATCACTTTAGAACTTAATCCTGTCTTGAGCATGTTTAGCTTGTGTTTAGTAGTTTTCTAGAAGGTTAGCAAGACCTATTTTCTAAAGTAGTAGTTTTGTTAGCAAAATAAATTATTTTTAAAATTCACATTTCATGAAATAACTAATGTGAGAGTACAACCATACACGTTCTTTAGAATTGGAATAAATAAAAAATAAAATAAATTTCACAAGAAAATAAACTTGAGTATCCAAAAACTATACATGTTTTTGTCAGCATGCCATATTCTAGCTAGCGCAAAATAATAGCATTGCAATAATAGTGCGTCATTTCCATGGGTAGGAGAACCGCTTCCTGAATGTTCTATCTAAGTGTGTATAAATTGTAACTGCATCCAATTTACCCAGGTGGCAAATCAGGGGAAATGCCGCCACTCCTCAATATTAGTCGGATGAAATTTGGATACTTGAGGCATATAATAATAATAATAATAATAATAGTGCATCATTTTATTAGTGTAACATAAGAGTTCTTTCTTGTGACAAAATAATTTTGTTAACCCCACAAAACTTTTTTTAAAATAAAGCCAAGTCATCCTGGTTGTCCTAGAATCTTGGCATTCCTTATCTACTCAATTTAACCTTCTCATCACCATATTTTACCTTATTTTTTCCATTTTTGTGCATAAGGGTTTCAGCTACTCAAGATTTCGTACTACAAAAACGAAAGGAGGAAATAATCATTTGAAAGTATGAATTCTTCTTGGGGCAAAGAACCTTCGAAGGTTGAAGATGAGAGCCTAAGTTTGAGTACTGATGCCGAGGAAGAAGCTGAATCCTCCAAAGATTTAAAAACTGAAGAGGAAATCGAAGAATTTCATACTGAGGCCAATAAAAAAAAGCGCTATATTGGTGTGAGGAAACGGCCATGGGGATTTGAAAGTATGAATTCTTCTTGGGGCAAAAAACCTTCGAAGGTTGAAGATGAGAGCCTAACTTTGAGTACTGGTGCCGAGGAAGAAGCTGAATCCTCCAAAGATTTAAAAACTGAAGAGGAAATCGAAGAATTTCATACTGAGGCCAATAAAGAAAAGCGCTATATTGGTGTGAGGAAACGGCCATGGGGAAAGTATGCTGCTGAGATAAGGGATTCCACAAGGAATGGAACAAGGGTTTGGCTTGGAACTTTTAACAGTGCGGAAGAAGCAGCTTTGGCTTATGATCAAGCTGCATTTGCAATGCGCGGAACTTCAGCACCAATAAATTTTCCCATAGAAAAAGTGAAAGAATCCCTTAGAAACATGAATTACAGGTGCAAGGGTTTATCACCAGCTGAAGCCATAAAAGAGACTCACAGGACTCGGAGTTCGTCGAAACACAAAGGACAAAAGAAACAAATTAGCAAAGAAGAAGATATTTTGGTGTTTGAGGACTTGGGATCTGATCTACTGGACGAGCTATTATCAAATTGTTGATCTTGTAAGTAAACATAAAAATCTTTGAATTAATTTGTCTATTTTCGTAAATTTTTCGTTTCATTTTCTGCTTCTTGCTTGAACCCTACATCTGTGAATTAATTTCAAATCCATTCAAATTAAACTTATTGTCCCTTAGTGTCTTTACACTCCCAATTAATAGTTCTTGGAAGTCAAAATCTATATTAAAATACGACAGTCAATTCAAATGGATTTTTCTTGATTTCTGATTTTCCAAATGCCTGGCAAGCACACCATGAACTTCAATTTTTGATTTTTGGCTACAAAATTATAGAAATTTTTGTTTTCCATTTCTCTTGAATGCAATTTATTTCAAGATTTAAAGTGTGAAGCTGGCATTAGTGATCATCACTAGTCAGAATAATATTTTTGTCACAAGCTTTGTGTCTACTATGAATGATTTAAATGTTACTGTAGACATTTATTACCATTTCCTGTGGATTTAAAAATGTATGTGTATGTCTTGATCTTAATAGATGGAATTGAAGTTGATTCTTGAAATGATCTATAACATTATTATCCATTGCCTATCTTTCTTAATTGGAAATTCCTCTAGTTTTGCTCAGGAACAACAGCACAGTCCTCTTATTGTACCTTGATACACATCTAATTCATTACAATGATGTGTGTTCTTTTTTATCTTTGTTGATTGTTAAACACATATAGCATTCTGTTGCTGTTTTCTTATGCTTAGTATATTCCATTGAAGTAAACACACATTAGTAGGCAGGCTTCAACCTTGTTGTTTTCGATTAGTACTCTTCTTATTATGCATAATTTTGTTTTGATTCTCTGTAAGTGTTTCTTCTGTTTTTAATTTTAGTAGTTGTTCTTAGTAAATGGAATGCAACCTTTGTAAATAGTTCATTAATTTTGTTGATGGAAAATTGAATTGAGTGATGACTTTAAATACAAACTTACCAACATAACCAAATTTTGAGAGTACTAGCAAGGAATCAAAGAATAAATCGCAAAATGATCAAACCACCACCATAAAATGAAATCAAAATTGAGGCAGGAGTTGGACTCTTTGTCCTTAAGTCGAATTTGCCCCGGAAACATTGGTCATAGATGATGACAATCAACTCTCAAGATACAACAACAATTTTCTTGTGTTAATAGCACTCCAAAACACAAGAATCAATGAACCAAAATTATGTTATTATACTCTTTTTGAATGAAATAGAAAAAATAGATTTTATGCAAAGTTTTGGCTAAATAAATATAGAATTTTATGTTACGTTATGATTGTATATCATTGTGATGATAAAATGGACGTCCCAATGATTTTATTTATAGATGATGAAAGGTTGTGAGTGAAGTGCCACACTCCAAAACTTAGCAACATTTGTCAAGGGTTGCACTTTTACTGTTGCTAGCATATCGTTTGTTCGTTGCTCAAGCATCAAAAACAAAGAGCCTGTTGCTCAAGCGATAGTCTCACCGCTCTGGAACTAGGCGAGCAATCTGTCGCTTGAGCAACATGCGAGCAGCAGAGTTAGATAAATATTCAGCCAATTTTTGTTTCTTTCCAACTTTGGACCTTTGTTTCTTATTCACTTGGAATTGGTTTTGAGATTCCAAATATATCACGACAATCTACTCGACGAGTAGATTAAGTTTGTCTATTTATTTTCATAATTTAACTATCGAATCAAGTTCGAATATTTGGTCGAAGTTGACAAAAAACTCACTTTTCCATATTTATACTTAACCAATTTTAACAATCCCCTACATGAATGAAACTTCCACAATATGCAATCCATAATGCAAATGATATGCAGACTCTAACAAAGGAGTACATATGACAAGTTATAGCATCGGGATAGGTGACTTGTGACTTTGAACATTCCTTAGTTGAATACAATTGAATTTACTAAACTAATTAGTGAAGTGATGTCTTGAACCATTCAACTGTTCGTGTAAATCAAAACAACTGTACCAATACCGTAATTCATCTAATCAATTTGGTTTTCATAATTGTGTTCATTTTGACCCTAAAAAACTCTTGGTTTCATAAGTGTTTAAAGAGAATTTAAGTCTCAAATTCTCGTAGAAGCGATCACATTTCATTCTTATAATAGTTGATCTCCTATAATATTGTATCATACATCTCTTGTCTATTTTCAAGATATATGAATAATTAAAAGTATACACTTACCCTTATAAACTTTTTATTCTAGCACTTTAGGTCTATATGAATGAGAGAAAGTACTATACACTTAATTATTCATAACTATTTTGTCCCATTAAACCAAGATCTTGGGATCTCCAATCTACAAAGATGGGTATCTGCTTCATGAG